CAAGAAGATAATAATGTCATTAAAAACAAAAAAGGTAGCAAAGGATGAATTTCATTTGGCAATCAAGTGGTTGTTGGTGCTCTTAAGACTGACAGTTTCAATATAATGGGGAGGGGGCAACAGATCACAATAAGTTGAGCGATGTGAAGAATTATAAAGGTAGTAGGTAGGGGCTGCTTTTCCAAAAACTATAATAGTGAATGGAAACAGAAAATGGCAGAGGTCTGAGGCAAAATTAGACTTGAGAAGAAAGGAGTCTGAAAGAAAATAGAGAACATACCGCTAACACCTGGGGGGGAAATGAAGGCTGAACAAGAACAGGTGGAAGGAGACAATTTAGGAAGTGGTTTGGAAGGAAGGAGAATACAGAGGAAACTAGAAAAATTTCTGGGAACAATCAAGGAAGTTAAGGACACTCCAAATAGCTGGGTAAAGCGATCTCCTAAGAATTAAGAGGGGTGAAGCTCAGCAAAAAAAAGGTTTGAATAAATGCTATTTGGAATAAAATAACCAACTGGAAATGAAGAAAATGAGCACTGAGAGCCCAGATGATAATTCTACAATGCAAAAATAAAGAAACAAACAAAACTGTATGTTAAAAATAATCTAAAGCAGAAGATGAAACTATATTATCCTACAAATGTTCTATAGATACACTTGGAAAGCTAAGGAAAAACAACAAAGATAATAAAGTAGTGATACGCAAAAGTTTTTGGAACTATAACAACCCTAAGCAGTTGATAACTGTGTATGTCAAAATGTACAACACAAATCTTTGTATATCTACAAATTTCCAAGATTTAGCAATAGTCTACTTATTTTAAACAGATTAAAATTATTATTAAATCATATTTCAATATAAAAAAGTAGGTGGTTTTTATTGCATTGAGTTATGACTTGGTAAGTTTCATATCAAGAAAGTTTTGAATCTTCTTAACTTTCACAGCATATTAGCTATCCCTCTGAACTGTGTCATCCACAAATTCAATAAACTAAACTTCATCCAACAGGATAAGGCTGGATTCTTTCAGCAGGATACTAAAGGCCTCTCTGCAGGCTAATGGTGATTTACTACTTGTCACTCTTCAAGTACAGCTGTTAATGAATCAAATTTTATAACTGTATTCTCATCTATCCCACATTCCTCCATCGTGACCATAAAGACATAATAATTTTGTCAAATATGCCCTGGTGAAATCTAATTACACAATGTCTAAGGCATTTCTCTAATGCTATTGCTGTCAGCTGCTATCAAGTTGGCCCCAACTTGTGGCGACCCCATGTACAACAGGATGGGACTGTTGGGATCTATAGGGTTTCCACTGATTTTCTGAAATAGATTGCCAGGCCCTTCTTCCTAGTCCATCTTAGGCTGGAAGCTCCACCAAAACCTGTTCAGCATCATAGCAACATACAAGCCTCCACTGACATATAGGTGGTAGCTGTGCTGGAGGTACACTGGCCAGGATTCAAACTGGAGGTTCCTGAGAATTCTACCAGTCTATTAGGCCTGTTAAAAAAGGAAATGGAAAGGAGGCTAATTTTAATTTGGCCACTCCCTAGCCAGCCATGTCGCTATCTAACTTAGGAATGCAAGTTTCCTAAGAATTATGTTATGGATCTACCTGGCAGGGTCTCACTACATTTCTCCAAAAAGATAAATTTCTCAGTCTTCCCACTTTATGATTATCTACCTTTTAACGTATGAATATAAGGCAATCCCGCCTACCTCCTAATGAGGAGAGGAAAAAAAAAGTTTTCTGGCCAACTTGAGTATAAAAATTTGGAGGGATATAGATAAAAGAATCAAATGTCTATTTACAATATCTACTATATTAAGTTATTTACACAGATTTTAAGTCACTTAGCATATAAAATAATATTCATATAGAAATTCTGCTTTTTCCCTGATCAATATTGTTTTTTAATTTTTTAAAATTTTATTGTTGTACTTTAAGTGAAAGTTTACAATTCAAGTTAGTCTCTCATACAAAAATTTATACATATTGTTATGTGACTCTAATTGCTCTCCCTATACTATAAAAGCACACTCCTCTTTTCCACTCCTGACGTCCTGTGTTGATTCAACCAGCTCCTGACCCTCTCTGCCTTCTCATCTCACCTCCGGACAGGAGCTGCCCATTTAGTCTCATGTATCTACTTGAGACTAAATGATACTCTTCACGAGTATCATTTTACGTCCCATAGTCCAGTCTAATCTTTGTCTGAAGAGATGGCTTTGGAAATGGTTTTAGTTCTGGGTTGAGAGTCTGGGGGCCATGCTTTCTGGGGTTCCTCCAGTCTCAGTCAGACCATTAAGCCTGGTCTCCTTACTAGAATTTTAGCTCTATACCCCACCTTTCTCCTGCTCCATCAGGGAGTCTCTGTCGTGTTCCCTGTTACAGCGGTCACTGGTGGTAGCTGGGCACCATCTAGTTCTTCTGGTCTCAGGCTGATACAGTCTCTGGTTTATGCGGCCTTTTCTGTCTCTTGGGCTAATACTTTCCTTGTGACTTTAGTGTTGTTCATTCTCCTTTACTTCAGGTGGGTTGGGATCAATTGATGCATCTTAGATGGCCACTCGCTAGCTTTTAAGACCCCAGATGCCACTCACCAAAGTAGGATTCAGAATGTTTTCTTAATAAACTTTGTTATGCCAATTGACCTAGATGTCCCCTGAAAGCTTGGTCCCCAAACCTCTGCCCCTGTTACTCTGTCCCTTGAAATGTCTCGTTGTATTCAGGAAACTTCTTAGCTTTGGTTTAGTCAAGCTCCTGGTCAACATTTTATAAAATAATTTTATTGAAATTTTTCCAATGTATCTTTGGTATCTGTCTTCACATTCACTAGAGCAACTGAGTCACCTAACAGTTTTCTTCAAAGCATGTTAACTTTCCTTTATTTATAAGTTGTTTGAACTACAGCACTTTTTAAAACCTTGTGATGTTTTTAATCTAAGCCTAAGTGTCCATTTTCCATACATTAGGGCAGTTTCTCCACTCTATAGATGTGTCTGATAAATGTAATCTCTACAAGGTAACCACTTACTAGCTTTGATTTAAAGTAGCTTCAGATCTGTATCTCCTCCAAACAATACTTTTTATATCCAAACAATCTTCTTTCCTGAGGAAGAGGGGGGAGCTTGCCTTATATTCAAGTAATCAACAGGTCAAAAAACTTTACAAGGAATTAGGAACCCAATTATTTCTTAAACACATTTCAATTAGTAACATACGTTATTGCTAGTAAACACGCTGATGCATTAACAATAGTCTTCAGAAGCTAACAGAAGCTTCTGGACTAATACATTAGAACTTTGCTATACTTTCTGTCACAAAAAGAAAGAGCAGGATGGGTTGCTCAATTCCTGTAAATTAGTTCTTAAAGAAACAGCACAGCAAGAGAAACAGTTCTAGCAATTTATGTGTACTGGTGTAGTGGTTAAGAGCTCGGCTGCTAACCAGAAAGGTCAGCAGTTCAAATCCACCAGCTGCTCCTTGGAAACCCTACAGAACAGTTCTACTCTGGCCTACAGGGTCGCTATGAGTCAAAATCGACTCCATAGCAACGAGTACGGGTATACGAATTAAGTGCCAGGTACTCCTTAAAGTATTTTACATACATTAATTCATTTAATCTTCACAACGTTCCTACGAAATAGGTGCTACTGATAACCTCATTTCACTGATAAGTCCCGCTTAAGAAACTAGCCCAAAGCCACACAGCTTGTAAATTGTAGAAACTCAGGCAGTCTAGTTCTAGGCCTATGCCAGTTTAAAAGACGATATATTGCCTGTTAACTTAGTAAAATTAGGTTTACATTCTATAAGACAGTTCCACCTATTACACAATTAATATCAGTGGTCTAAGGAAGACATAATGGTGAGCTTCCAGTATATTTTAATATTATTTTCTATTATCCATCTACACTGCCTGAAGGCATATTGATGGGTCTGAGTGAGGAATAGTTTATCCTCTGTTTTCATGCTCCCTTAGCAGATCAGTATCCACATTTCAGTCAATACTTTGAAGGCAAAAGGTTCCTAGTTATAAACACAAACACAGAGCAAATTGGTACCATGTCTTCCTCATTCTCTTCCAAACTTTTTAACTGAGGGTAAAGCATCTGTCCCTCTGGACCTAGATCTCCCTTGCCATCCCAAACATATAAAACTAACTTTAAACGTTTTGATAAGGTAACTTTCCTAAGCCCTAAAACGATGGTAGCACTTCATCAGCGGTCATCTGGTTGTGTGCTATAATGGGGCAAGGGTGAGGGAGTGTGTGTATGTGGCGGGGGG